CCCCCCCCCCCCCCCCCCGGAAATAGCCGCCTGCGTCAAGTCGCAGACTCTTGGTTGCAGCAGCAGCCCTCCTGTGACGCATTAATCAACGCGTTTATCTTGACGTAAATCTCTCCCTGGAAATTAAGCACGAGTCTCTCAACTACGTTTTTATCTTATTTTACTTTATTTTGCCCTTTTCGCTCACAAACCATATCCTTCAGCCGGCGTTTTGACCATCTTCGATGCCAACCTGCTTCCTCACTAGCAACAACGTCGAACAAAACAATGCCAGTCAAAGCCCCTAATTATTTAACCCAACCCCCAAGCGAACAATCTCTTATCAACCCCCCCCCCCCCCCCCATCAAGGCATGAAGAAGCAAGGGTCGCCAATACTGTTTCCATCCTATGTTGGGACCTTCTAAACCCGCTACCCCTGCAAGCAGCAAGAAATTGAGGAGAAATGCGGGGCCCAGTATATTCCATGCAACAGAGATATCCCGGGTGATAAATATTCGACCGTCTGATTGTTTTCAAGTAATTAGCTAGCTGGACAGGATAGAGCAATAGTTCAATCATCTTTTACCAGCGGAGAAGACAACCCCGCCTTCTCCACTTTGATGCCACCCAGCCGTCTGGGCCTGTACGTGCACTCAAGGGTTGTCAAAGCTAGTTGACTTAGGGTGAACATTTATCACAAAACTAATTTACCCCCTGTGTGTCAGAAGAATAAATGTTGATGAATCTGCAGAAAAAATTTTTACTCTCTACTCTGTTTGATTAGCTCATAGATTAGTTCATGCTCACACCCATAAGTTAGTTAACTGAACTAGAAAATGACCTTATTCATTATTGATATTCTTCTTTCCCTCATCCACCAAACCCAACTGACCATCCTGGAGAGGGAAAGACAAAGAATTCATGAGAAGAAAACAACCAAATCATCCATGTGCAGAGGGGAAAATATGCACAGCAACCGCTGCCAGATGATCGTAATTCCCAACCCTGAACCTCATGAATGAAAGAAAAGAAATTAAATTCTGCAACATCAAAACTATCAATGGCCAAATCGTCAAGGGCGAAAAAGAGAACAGAAGAACACTCGGGGAATATCAACTCGGAAAATGAAAAGAGTAGACCTATAAGCTCCCAAGCCTATCCCGTAACATCCGCTGTCGGCTTATACACAATGGTGGTCACACACTATCCCCACGTTAGCATATCATATAGACGGGGAAGGGAAAAAAGAAGCCCGCAAAGAGAGGAAATGGGGTAGACAAAAGACATCGAAACAACAAATACACACACACACCTTTGTCTTATACCTCGTCGTAACACTCGTCGCCAAAACCCCGTTCTTGATACTGCTAGTCGCCAAATGATTCAACACCGTATGATTCGGCACGTTCAACACGCTGCTATCATCCTTCATCGGTGTCGCGCTATTCAATATCGACCGCCCAAGTAACAGTGGCAGCATGGGCGGCGTGGGTGCGTCCCGAACCACATTTGCCGCTTGCTGGTATCGTGCGCTTCCACTTCCATCAGCGCCTCCGCTATGCCCTCCACCATCCTGATGCCCATTATCATTATCATTACCATTACCATCCTCATCTCCCTCTTCATCATACCCATCAATATCAGTTAGGAACGGCGGTATCAGCGCCCGAAAGTCACCAAGGGGTATCTCTTCCTCCGGGGCCTGTCGTTGTCGTCGCCGCTGTCGTTGGTCACGCTCGTCGCTCTCCGAGTCCTGGTCCGGGTGTATCTCGAGCGTGTCTGGGAGGACCTGTGGGGGGTACAGGCCTGGCGGGATTGTGTATTTGGGAGGCCTTTCGCGGTCACTTTCGCGGCGCGGGCGGGGAAGTTCTTCGAGTTCCGGTGTGACTTCGATGTAGTTTACGAGGTGGTTTGTGAAGTCGACGGCTGTTGGGAGTAGGTCAGATGTGTTCATAATGCCGTCTACGATAAATTTAAGGTGATGGGTGCCTGGGCGTAGTTGGAGGGTGGCTGTCTGTAGGTTTGGTTCAATTTCACTAGAAGATATGTCTGTTAGTATTTGTATATAATGCCAGTAACTGGAACAATTAACTGTAGTTCAAACAATGAAAGATAAGAAAAGCCACACCTCTTCTGCAATCTGAACTTCCGCTCCCAGTTCACAAAAGTTCCTGTAACATACACCTTCTCACCTCCTCCCCGCCACTCAATCGTCGTCGGCACTGCCTTATTCACCCCGACCCCTCCAACCCCCATGCCCATTCCCATTCCCATAACCTCCTCTTCTCCAACATCCATGATCCCAACCTCCCCCTCTAACTCATCAACCATTTCCTCCTCCTCATCCCCCAATCCCAATCCCAGTCCAGAGCCAACCGAACCTTCCTCGCCTGTCTTCCCCTTATCAACCAACACAGGCACAGCACCGGCCAACGACGATGGCGCTATAATTGGTGATCCAGGCGCCGTTGTCGCATCGCCAATTGGCAGTGGCAGTCGCGGAGGGCGGGAGAGGTGTGCCGAGGCCCCGTAGTAGCCATGTTGCACTGGACCCGATGGTTCGATGATGGGGTATTGCTCGTTGCGTTGCTGGTTGTGGTGGTGGGCCCTTCTGCTGTAGTTATAGTTGTTGTTGGCGGGGACGCGGACGGCCTTGGTCTTGGCCTTGCCAAGTTCTGGAGAGGTTTCTCTAGGACGAGCAGGGTGGGTGTGCTGGCCGCTGTCGCTGCGGGTATATCCGCGATTGTGCCGGTCGTTATTGTCTCTGTAGAAACGTCTAGCATTTCTTTGTTGCTGCTGCTGTTCATTGTGTTGTTGATGATGATAAGTGTCGCCTCTCGAGGATTCTGATAGGATACGGGATTGTTGTAGCCACTGTGGGACTGAAGGTTGTTGTCTATGCGGGACAGGGTGGCCAGTGGCGCTTTCGTGGGAAGCGGAGGGATCAGCAGCGGTGGACTTGCTACCTGTGCCTGTGGTGCCGGAGAGGGCATGGATAGAGGAGCGACGGTTGACACGCTTGCCACTGGGAGCACTGGAAAGGGATCCTGCAGTTGAGTAGTTGCTTGTGTTAGTGGTGGCGGTGGTATTCGTCGAGTCTGCCCCGCCAGGAGGGGGTTTGGACGGGGTGTTCCCCATTGCCGGGGGCGGGTAGGTGGTTGTGTTTGCTACGTTCGATGAATCATATAGACGTTGATTTATAAACCACCCCGGGGGGATTTAATGCCCATTAGGGGCCCGAGTTGGTCTATCCCTAATAATTTGTTGATGTTGACGTTGAGGCTGTCGTTGAATAGAGTCGACAGGTCGTTGGTTGATTGTTCCATTGCAAGATTGGGAGACACGTGATCCTGAGTCCTTTTATCAGATGGACTTACTAAATCGGGAAACTGCGGCTGATTAGGATTAGGGTTGGTGCGCAATCCCGCAGATCACTGCTGACATCATCATATCATCATAGTTAGATAACTGGAGCATAGTTGCTGCTCATATAACTTCATCCATAATTACTGCTTCATGTATAGTTATCTATATGCCTATGTGTATACATGTCAATATTACGATTGAATGATTACACATATCATGTCACTCTCAGTCCTCTTTTCAATCTCATTCACACTCTGTGTCATCAACTGGGGAATAGATACTGCAATACAACTCCCACCCTTCCCATACCAACTAACCTAGTTGGTTCAACCGATCATCCACTTCCCCGCAAATCCAGTCTGGTTGCCAACTTTGTAGGGTTAACTACAGGAAACTACGTACATGTGGATGTATACGCATACATTCCCCGCGCTACGCAAGCCGATTTGAATCATCATTTGAAAGTAAAACGCTGCATGCAAAAGCAATAAAGGGACAGAGAAAAAGGCTTCAAACATGACATGGGCAACAGCCCTCACTGCCACGGCGTACTACATCGTCTACCCCCTCACCCTCCAAGCCAATATCCTGCTGGTCGTATTGAAGACCGTCGCCGCTCCTTGGGTATATGTGGGACTCTATATGTTACATATCTTCATTATATCACCCGTTCGCTTCCTGCTGAAGTTCGAGGTAAATACTTTCATCCTATGCTCCCCGCCTCCAGTTACTCCATAGAGCGGAAAATAATCAATGTCAAATGAAACAATATACATGATTAACTAACCCCAGTTCCAGCCCCTATACATCTTCTTCAGCATTGCTAGCGTTCTAGGAATTTCCACGGGGATATTCCTGCATTTCATATCTAGGTATATGCAGCAAGCACTTGGCATCAGTTCTAAAACTGGTGGGAAGAATATTCAGGATCTAAGCTACCACGGCAAGACTGAGAGGGCGGGTGACAGTTATTTAATCCACCCGAATCTAAGCATCAACGATGGCAAGGATGATTTAAGATCCATGAGGGAATGGGATGCAGCGGAAGTTGAAGCCCAAAGTGGTAATACGGATACGTCTGGTTTGTATTCGAAGACGAGGATGGGAGGTATGCTGCGTATACCCGCGATGAAGCAAGAGTGGGTGGATATCTACCCAGCAAATGTATTGGGGTCTGGAAAGTGGAAGGGGAAGGCTATGAATGGGAATGGAGGAGATGAACTTGCGATAAATCCCGAGGGAAGGAGAGAGAACCTTTTATCGACGATGATTTTCGAATAAGACGATAGTGAGTACGATTAGGGTGATGGGGGTAGGCGTTATTGGCATTATGTGTGCGTTTGTTTTGGATGTTCTTCAGGGCTATTTCATATTACTACCCCCTGTAACTATAAATTATGCCCTCCATATCTTCATGCATATAGCTAGTAAACATTTTCCATAAATATATTTTACGATAGCCTCCGAACGCGTGTTGATATAATAGCAGGTAACAGATACTCCGTGTACCTTGATATGCGAAACAAACGAGCCATTGCAATGGGTATTTAGACGTGAAAAAGAACGACCTTAGAAATGAAAATACCAAACTCACATGTATGCCCCGATTACAGATCCATTACTTGGAGTCGCCTTACCGCAATCTAAATATGATACCCGTGTTTGCTAAGGGCCTTAATCACCATCTCACCTGCTTCCCGAAACCATCTCACCAACCACTTCCGCAGCGGTCATAAGCAGATTGCTCTCCACCTCCTGACCATTTGCATGCTCTTTGCCCAGCCGATCCGTCACCGTCAGAGCCATAAAGATATACCTCACAACAAAGGAGTGTTGGTTTTGTTATTGCCAGTGACCAGCCCATTGTCTCTTCATTGCTATGGGCCCGCACTTCCATTCACGTGGCGAAGGACCTTGACCTTCCAGCAAAACTGGTGGAGAGCCAAGTAGTCCAAATTTAGCTTCCGGCCTTTGCAGCAAATGACATCACGAAGGCTGTCTAGAAGTTCGATGGGAGATAGTTTCCCACAGCCACCACGACCCCCTCCACAACTGTTATCGGGCCGTTTGTTGGTCTTTTTCGCAGTACGTTTGTCACTGCGTTGTAAACACCATAGACCTTCAGCAGGATTCTCCTTTATCTCACAATTGGAGTTATCAGGTATTTTTTTTCCAAGGTCTTATTCCGTGAATTCCACCTTTCCCGAACCCCAATCGCAATGCTGGTCCACGAACTTCATCAATACAGTTGCTTTGTGCCCCATGCTTTTGGGCCCGATTTTCAATTTTGTTAACAAGCCAAGGAATCAACGCAAACGATGCAGTAGACGAACCCACATTATGCACGAAGCATTTGTGATAGTCCTCCGGCTTGCATAGTACAGCACCAGCAAAGATCTTATCATGCTAACTCATGATAATTTCCATATCCTTCCATTGACATTTGTTGACCTTTTCTTTGCAAATTGCGTTGTACAAATGCGCCACATAAGATAGAATTCCATACCGCCCGCACATCGATACTGCACCGCAGATATAGTTTTCTCAAGGGCGTACGAAACCACCCAATGCTGGATATATTCTACAAAGTTCTCAAGTGCCTTGTCGTTCTGTTTCCCCATCCGTCGGTTCTGAGAGAAGTATGGAATTTCAGATTCTCCTTTACCGAGGCTTGTATTGTCAGTGCAGAAACAGTGAGGTCGTCTAATCCTTTCTTTATGCCAAGTCGAAGGATATGGTGTAAACTTGGGCGCACAAATAAGCCAGACCGGGATTTCCTGCTTCTCGAACATCACCCTCAGGGCACACATGAATTGTCATCTTCCCATGGCTGAGGAGGGCATGTTCAAGTAAAAATAAGAAATTCAGGCAATATCTCTGGAAATATGATCTTGTCTTCATTGAACTTGTCCCTGACGCTCTTCTTGGGTCAGTCGATAGCGCGATCGTAGGTACCCAAAAGATTCAGGCTTGTATCTCACCACGTTGTCTGCCTGGACTACGGTGCCTAACGACCTCGACACCAAATATGTCGGGTACACAGACATTGCTCGGCCTGGTTGTACACGCGGAAGTCCATCCTGTCGACTGGCTGTTCGTGAAACCCCAGGCGCTCGTCGTGTTTCTTATCATAATAGACTGCGTACGTGGCGTTTATAAACTTTCCGAATCTGCCATATTTTTCAAGGAGATTCTGGATACCTTCAAACATCCGCTTCGCCAAGTCAATCGCCGCGTTTGCCACAAAAGAAGCACATAGTAGATCGAAAATTCCATGTTTATACCCCTGCTCAGGAACTCCTAACAAACCTCAGAGCTTGAAATAATCTGCGATTAACAGACTAAAGCTAAAGCAAGCTTCTTCACCATCAAGCAGACGCTCTGCTTTGTATTTAACGTCCGCCTTGGCTTTGGTTCCAGTTGTGAGAGAAACATCCGAAGCATCCAGGAACTGCTTGGCCTGCTCCTCAACCTCAAGCTTGTTGAATTTGTTGGCTAGTCCGTAGGCTACTGGCGTTGACTGTCCTGAAACAGGTTCTGTTATAGGATTCTTGATTTGATTTCATGAAAATCACAATTGTAGAAGCTTCCGGACTTGTTTCATGATGTCAATGAAATATCAACAGTTGTCATTTTGAAGCTTTTGATGTTGGAATTACAGCAGAGAGATCTTTATCATGATCATGTCACGTAGAAATGGCCGGTTCAAGAACAATTTTTAAGCTCTCTGGAACAATGACAGGCTATCTGGTTGCAGCAACATAGGCTGCTAGGCTGACAAATTCTTTAGCTGCAATGATGAACATCAGAAGCTTGGAGGCTCCAGGGGTTGAGAGTGATACACCAGTATCATTGGCAGTTGTATGGGCTTGCTTTTGTGCTTTGCCCTTCAACTGTTGTAAGAACTGCTGCTGCTGGTGAGTCTGGCATTTCAGATTTCAGATCAGCAGGTCAACTGAATAGCTGCATTTTCTTGCTGTTATTGTAAGTCATGAAGCCACCACATCAGTGTCTGCTTTGTATTAGAGATAGCTGCTAACAAGGAAATTGAAGAGCATTGCCTCACTTAGTACCTGGGGATAACTCTCTGATTAATTATTGTCAAGTCAATAAGATACCCTGCAACACTAAGCTAGGTAACAAGAAACCTGCAATGAGAAGCAAGAAAGTTGGGATTAATGAATGAAATGAGAGAGGGTTCTGTGAGGATTAAGATTACTGAGTGAGATTGAGATTGAATCTCAATAGAAGTAGAAACTCACTCCTTTCCCAACCTGCAACAGGATGAAACCACTGTGTACATGCCTGTGGTGCCTGAGGTATCTAGCCCATCAGTATTTAATGTGTATTCCAGTACTTGTTGAGACAGAGTATTCGTTTCCACAGCGGCAAGGGACTCCATCTTGGTTAGGGATTTGAAAGATCGACTCAGAACATCGATGATGGATGGATGCTGGGGAGAGCGGGGAGGCCGAGACATTGCAGGGAATAGACAGCGCAGATATGATATTCGTTAGAGATGGCATTGAAAAATATCTATAAACTTTTGTATAAGAGCATTAAATCCGCTGTGGACGAAGAATGACTAGTTCTCGTAATGTATGAATGCGGATATTGTATGACACAAGTGGATAAAATAAAGCAACAAATCAGCCCAGAATATCTATCTATATGATACAGTAAATATAGAACTTCAAAAATAAAATGTGAAAAATACATACACACTATTCAGACAACCCCTTTCTCAAACCATCAACCATCTCCACTTCCGCCACCCCTTTATCTCCATCATCAACCCACTCCACTTTCTCCAACGCATTCTCAAACAACTCCTTGCACCGTACCCTACTCCCAAGCCTAGCACAAAGCAAAAACGCCCCACTAAGCTTCCGATGCAAGCTATACGTCTCCTCCGGAGGCGGAGCCAGCCTCTCCCGCAACATCAGCGGAATCATCTCGCGCACGCGGTCCGTAATCGTCTGGTCACTAAAGTCATAGACATCAGGGGATGAGGCCATGAATGGCTCTGAGAGCGTGAGAATGGACGTGATATGCGCATTGACCATAGCTGCTGATTCAAAACCGGTCAGATAGCCCAGCTTGATTGAGAGGTCGTGGCAGGTTTCGCGGTCGTTGCGGGATGCGGCCTGCAGGACGCGGAGGTAGGTGGAGATGAATGAGGCGGGGAAGTCGCGCGAAGCGCCAAAGTCGAGGAGTTCTAATTTGTTGGTGGATGCGTTGTAAAGGAAATTTGTCCAATTTGGATCCGTTTGCATGAAGCGGAATTCGCAGATTTCTCGTAATGAGAGACGAAGGATCTGTGTGCCGATCCAGTCTCGCTGGGCTTGTGTGAAGTTTTGTACGCAGGTGACGGGGATGCCTTCGAGATATTCCATGGTGAGAACTTGTTTGCCAGAAGCGGAGGGGATGATTGCGGGAATAGTAAAGGTGGTTGTGTCGTCTTGAAGTAGGTTTCGGAATCGTCGGCCGCACTCGGCTTCTCTGATGTAATCGCATTCCCAGGCTAGCTCTGTTCGGGCGTTGGCGATAGTTTTGTCCAGAAATAGTCCCTTGGGTAAGAGGCGTGAGGCTGTGAGAAGAATTGAAAGATTGTTAAGGTCGGAGTCGATCGAGTCTGCCACTCCTGGATATTGAATTTTGACAGCGACTGGTTTGCCAGTCTCTTTGAGCACTGCCCTATGCACCTGTCCTATAGAAGCAGCCGCCATAGGAAGTTCGTCAAACGAATCAAACAAATCCCGCCAATTCTCACCCAGGTTGTCGACAAGCACCCGGTCTCTCTGTTTCATGGGCATATAATTTGCTTTATCTTGCACACGCTGCAGAACTTCGTGGATAGCTGGAGGGAGCATTTTCGCATCTAGAAAGATCATCAAAATGTGCCTTCTATTAAAGCTATATTTTTCAAACACAGTGCTCACCTTGGAAACTCATCATTTGCCCTAACTTAAGAGCTGCACCCCTCATCTTAGATAACTTAGCGACGAGTCGCTCCACGTTCTCTGGACTGAATAGAAACGAGCCACTGCCAGAGTCGTCCCCGACAGTAGCTCGACGGATGCTTTGTCCAACGATTCCAAAAGCCATCGAAGTGGCTAGTCCTCCGTATTCCCAAAATCTCCCTAAACGTGTCGAAGGGACCGGTGATTCAACCATTCTGTATGCAGAGGTTGCTGACTTTTCGCGGATCTTTTCACATTCTATCTGGGATACAAAGTAAGCAAAGCACTACAATTAAGGATCGAGACGAAGTAAAAACGTACTTGTGGAATCCCAGGGTCATTCGAAAGGTCACCATCCGGTGTTTTTACGTTATCCTTGGCGGCACCAGGAGCTGTGAGAGGTTCGGAAAGAGCTGGTGATGTTGTAGATTGGGAATTTGATGTATTTAACCTATCGTATAATGGCGATGGACGGGACACGGGCGTTCTATTAACTTGAGCAAACTCTTTATTATATTTTATTTCATCGTATCCTTTCCTTTTCGTCAGAACGCTTGAAACCCTTGGGCTTCGAAAGAGCTGTTGTACCACCGCCTCCGAAGGTTCATCGCTAGAATCGGTGGTCATTGAGCTATCAACGCTCTGACTAGTAATATTTTCAGATGGCCTAGTCGGTTTAGATGCTTGTTGCCATTCAATGGGCTCTTGCAAACCCCCAGTAGCACCTTTCACCTGATTTTGATGTGATCCCCCACTTTCTTGTGTGTTTAATTCCCGTTGATTGGATTTACTGGCTACATTCTCTGCCCCTTTTTTAATATCAGCCTGTTCCACATCCTCCCCACTATCGTCTTTATGAGTCCCAACCTTCACATCTCTCCGTCCATGCTGACTATTACCACTCCGTTCGGCGGAACCAGACGAACCCGTCTGTGGCGGCTGAGACTCTTCAAATTTGCGAGCTAGTTCCGAGGCCGCCTGAAGCCCAAGGGCAATGCGATCAAGTTGTGCTTTAGCCTCCTTGGTTAGGGAAGATGTGCGAATATGAAGATCTAGCTGCCGTCTCTGAAGCGCAATGTGCTTGCTAGCCACCGAGCGGGAAGCATTAAGGAATATGAGAGCGTCGAGTAGACGCCGTCCGGACATAGCAATGTGAACAAATAGCAACTTATAAAATATTTATCGTAACAACCGCATTGTGGATGTTTAATATGCAGCTATAACAAAACAATTTGACATTCTGGGTTATTCATAGTTGATTGATTGATTGATTTATTGATTGATTGTGCTGGTGATAGCTGTAAGTTATTTTGTGACAAACAATTTAGTTAATGGCGGTCTAAGACGGCAATAGTTATAAATGGAAGGTTTATCATCAACGTCATCTCAATTCTGATTCATCGACATGAAGTTTTGACAGGACAATGATCCATGTCAATGATTATCAGCATTCAAGAAGAGGTAGATAGACTCGAATGCCAACTCAAGGATGCCAAGCAGCGGCTAGATGAAGTCAATGGAATTCCAACCCCGGCGCGCAGCTCAAGTCAACCAGGTACGGAGGATAATCCGTAAACTTCTCCTATCTCTTTTATCATTAGAATGAGAGCAATATTGAAACGGTACAAAAAGACATCCCATGCTAACATAAGAGCATTCATAGCCATCCCGCCTCTCACAATCCCGCACTCTCTCCTCCTCCTCTCCGACTCTGCCCTCCCGCTGGGATCCTTCGCCTATTCCAGCGGCCTAGAGTCCTTCCTCGCCCACACAAAAACCCAAAGCCAACAACGCAATACAACCTCGTCGCCCTCCTCCACGACCTCCTTCCACCAATTTCTCTCCCTCTCCCTCTCCTCCATCGCCAGCACAACCCTCCCTTACCTCCTAGCTGCACACCGAGACCCGCGCCAGCTTCAGACACTCGACAACGACCTCGACGCCTCAACCACCTGCACCGTCGCACGCCGCGCAAGCGTAGCGCAGGGCCTGGCGCTACTAGGTGTCTGGGAGCGCTCCTTTCGCGACTCCCACACAACCACATCAACAAGCACGAAAGCACAAGCAGCCGCTCATGCCGCCCTGAATGACTTCTCCACGGCTCTGAAAACCTTCACCACCAACACCAACGACCAACTAAATGGCCACCTCCCGCCTCTGTGGGCTGTCGTCTGCGTCGCGATGGACATCGACATAACTTCCACAGCATATGTATACATGCTCAACCATGCAAAGGCGGTGCTAAGCGCCGCCGTGCGCGCATCAGTGATGGGACCTTATCAGGCGCAGGGGGTGTTAGCGAGTCGGTGGCTGCAGGAGGTGATTGAGCAGCGGTTACGGGGTCAATGGAATGTAAGACCCGAAGAAGCGGGGCAGGTTGTGCCACTTGTGGATCTGTGGGTGGGGAGGCATGAGTTGCTTTATAGTCGTATATTTAATTCATGATGCAGTTGGCGAGACGGAGTGTGAAAGGTTGTTGGAGGGATGCTCTAATTTAGGGATGTTCAACAAAGCCTTCTTTTGACCGTATTTGAAGATTTACACATTGGGTTATTTGGGCAAGGGAGTGTGACCGAAATCTCTTCGTTATTTTCTATTTTGAAGTATATATATGCCGTAGAAGGTCCCTGATGGTATTGTTGAAAGCCAGTCCTCTGGCAAATAAGGAATCTACCTAGCTACATACCGCTGTATACAAATCAGCATTGGCTATCACAGGGGGCAAATGCGTAAGTCGAAAGCAAAGAACTTAAACGACAACGGCTATGGTACTCTAGTCGGTGAACAAATAAATAAATCCAGTCCAACCACCCATTGACGCTTTAATAAGAAATTTAGTGAAATGTTCAAACAAAAAAAAAGAAAAAGAAAAAGAAAAGGGCGGGGAGGAGGGGAACTTGTTTTTACTAGACAGGGAAATAAGACCAATGAAGCGGCTAAAAAGAGGCGTAAGAAAACGAAGACATGAGCCTGTTGAACTTTAATGTAATCAACGACGGTGACGGTCGGGTTGGTGAGGCTACAAAACGCCGTTTTCTCTTTTCTTTTCTTCCCACTGTGCTCCTTTCCTTACACAAAAAACATATGAGAGAGTATTTAGGTCACTAGGACGATTCATTGAAATGAACACTGGCACCACAGACACCAGGAATAAATAAAACAAACATTACCAAAGGGTGAAACAAAAAGGGGCGAGTAGAATTTGGAAGAGAAGAGGGTCGTTGAACAGTAACTATAGTACAGGAAAGAAAAATGGGGAATGTAGAACAGAAGAAAGAGCCTGCTGGATGGTGAAAACGTAGGCAGAAATCAAAGTCTTTGATGTGCGGACAAGAAAGGCAAAAGAAAGATATTAAAGGGTGATATGCATATGGTCATTGCTTCCAAAAGATTTGTTGCAGTTGGGGCATTTTCGTGATCGAGACGTAAGGCGCTCTTCCACACATTCTTTGCAGAAGACATGTCCGCAAGTTTTGATAACGGTGTTTTTGAAATTTCTTCTACAAACTGTACACAACGCAAGGGACTATTAAAGTAAAGAGAAAATTAGTAATTACGCCCATGTATGCATATTACGGATACAAGTCGCATTAAAACTTACTCTAAGCATCTCATATTCTGAGGATGAATTACCCAAACCTTTATTCCGCCACGACTCCAGACTCTTCTTCGTATCGGCTAAGGTAGATTTGAGACCCTCGATTTCAGTTTCGGCTTTACGGCAGGCACTCGTTGCTGATGAGAGGGACGAATCTTTGGTGACCATCTGCTTTTTCAACTCTGAGATCTGGGAATTTAGCCCTTGGATAACGATATCCGCTTCAGAAAGCTGTTGCCGCGCAGTGTGGTACTGGGAGAGGGTGGTTGTGAGGGTCTCCTTCGTCTCAGAGAGCTGCTTCTCCACGTTGGATACCAAGGAACGCGTTATCGTTTCCGAGTCCTTGAGCTGGGAAACGATATCCGAACTTTTCATATTTTGGATCCGTAATGAGCGCAGTTCAGCATCCCGCGCCTCTTTACTTTTCATTGCAGCAAAATACTTTTGGTCCGCCTTGGATTTCTCCGCTGCCAGCCGCTGAACCTTCTCTTCAAGCGCGTTAAGTTCTGCAATCCTTTGCGAAGCAAGCTTGGAGGTTTTTCGGAACGCTGTTTGCATTGAAGCCAACTCCGTATTTAGCATTTCGTATTGCTTATCCAATGTTTGATACTTGATCCGTAAATCTTCTAATGGTAAGCCCTCGATACTGGGACTGATATCCTTGACTCCGTCGATCTGAAGTTGCAGTCGCTCTATCTCAGATTCCAACGCACTGATTCGGGATTCCTTTGCCTCTAATAGTTCCTTGGTCTGGTTAATTGACGTTCTTTCCAGTTCCTGGGCCGCCTTTCTCATCTGCTGGTCTGCAAGAAGTTCGTCACGGGCATTTCGGATACGGGCAAGATCGGACTCCATTTTGGCAATCTGAGCTTCTTTTTCTCCGACAGCGGTTTGGGACTCGTTCTCGATTTGAAGTCGATATGCAGTTCTCTCTGCTTGCAATTTTTCTGCTTCTTCACGAAGTTGAACATTGGTTGCCTCTAGATGGTTTATACGCTTGAGGACGTCCTCGTGTTGTGACTTTAGTTGTTTAAATAGGTCGGTATGGGCATAGTCGTCGTCAGATAGATTCGAAAACTGGTTTGTCCGTTAAATTTATGTAGAAAAATAACCTAAAACGAGTACAGACGCTCACCTTCATATTCAATTCTGTCACCTGGTTTAACAGTCTGGAGTTCTCTGCTTCGAGCTTTTCCAACTGTTCCTTCTGTTTTTCTGAAACTGCAGCAGATCTATTACGGGCTTCCTCTAGCTCTACAACTCTATCAGATGGGTCGACCACACCATTAGACGAAGAGGTTTCTTCTTTTTTGGTAGTTGAGTTGTCTCCAACCGGCCTTTGCGCTCCAAGAATATATTGTTTTTCCAAGCGCGCTACAGTTAGACTTCTAGCCCGATCAATTTTCTTTTCAGCAACCATATATCTGAGAGACGCGGCATCTAGTCGTTCTTCGAGCTGTTGCTTCTCCATAAGAGTTTTCTCCAATTCCGCAATTGCGACTTTCTCTTCTGCCAACTTTTTGGCGAGCTGACCTTGTAATTCTACAACTTCAGCGGAGACATTTGCGGGTCGCGAAAACAATAATTTCGAAATAGTCGCCTTAATATCGTCAGAGCGAGACTGGAGGTGTTTTTCAAAGTTTTCATGGCTTGCGAAAAGTAATGCGCTGGGGAAAGATTTATTATCTATTCAGGGTATCAGTATAGTTATAAAGCGAGCAACGAACCGGAGAATTTAAATTGACCTTGGTTTTCGTTTTCTTCGTTTGGGGCATTGAGCATGAGTTGGACTTCATCGATCAACTACACAGACCGATGTTAGCGTAAGGAAGTCACGGGACATAATCTCGATGGCGAATAAAACCATACCTGTTTAAACCACGCATCGATTATACGGAGGTGGTCATTTTGATACTCAGTTGTTTTCGATATTTCCTTCAATCTGACTTCCAACATGCTCTTTTCACGTTTATATTCTTGCATCTGACGCCAAATGGCATCTTTTTGAAAGCGCTATTTCCGTAACAATTTCGTCAGCATGTTGACCACTGGTTGGCAATGTCACAAATATTGTCGATATATATGCCTAACAAACGAAGAATACCAAAGCGAACAGAAATAAACGGTCCACTCACTTCCAAGTCATCCTTCCAGGGCATATCAGTGTCAGGGTGAGGTTTAGTTGCCCCATTCAGGGAGGTAGCTTGTTTCTTCAGGGGAGGGCTAGAGTCATTAGGACCATAAGCGGCAGGTCTCTTCCGGTCTTCCATTTTGACGACAAGGCCGGATTCGGCTAAAGGGACCGTTGACGCTTCGACGGCCGGCATCAGGGCATAAGGGGGCACATGTAATTTGCGATCGCCGACCTTAACAGCCACGGAACGAGGAGCACAAGACCGCAACACACTAGAGAATTGGCAGACTCGAGAATAAAGTATGAGAAGAAGAACTTAATGTGAGATGTATCCTGGCAACAAAGGGACAGTGTTGTTGTTGAGCCAGAGCGTGGTGTCTTGAGAAGTAGAAGACGTTGCTAAGATTTGACGAAGAGAAAGAGGGAGTCTTCGGCCCGGCGGATTATCCGTCACAGCCCAATCCGGATTAGCGCGTCGCGTGATTATCCACGTGATTTGGCTGCCGCTTATCCGTTTTAGGATAGATCACTGAGTCACGAGATCCAGATTTTTATCAACTTCGACTTTCCCCTCTTTAATTTTCTTATCAGTGTCAAAATTTCTAAGGCGTTTCATTGTTTCCAGGGCAGGAGACTTGGGCCAATACAGCTGTCTGGTCAATCTGAATACAATGATATGCTGCAGCTAGATACCCAATTCCGCCACTATGGTTTCCTTTTCTAGCTCTGTGATTAGTGAGTAGGATCTTGTCTGCAATTGCTCCGTACCTAGAGTCATCGCTAATAGTGCTCAAGATAAGTCGGGGAAGAAGTTTGCGCCCAAGGCACCTGTTCGACGTACTGGCGCTTCTTCAGCTGGTGCTGGTTCCGGGAGAGTTAGCGCTGACAGACAGACAACTTTCCAGCCTCCTTCATCCTCCACAGCAGTTGCTCCCGTAGCGCCAACCAAGAGTAACCCGCCTCAACAACCAACCATCGAACCTCACCCACAACCGCCACAACAACAACAAGAAGAACAAACACAGTCACGACCGAAACCTCCAGCAGAATCACAAGCTCAATCACCTAAACCACAACCCGTCCGTGGACCTCAAATCAAATCTACAGCCATCCCAATCCCGGCTCCTCGATGGAGACCATCTGTCCCGACCATTCAGCAGTCTCCTCCAGCACCATCTCCATCGCAATCCCCAGCGCCATCTACCTCCAAAGCAGCTCCCAGCCCTAGCATTGCCTGTCCAGATGCATTAGCAGATGCGTCACCAGCGACGGTACTGCAACAGCAACAAAATGACAACCAAAAACCCCCTCTGACCACTGAAAGCGCTCCGAGGAGCCCCAAGCGGCTGAGGATAGAAGAGCCTGCCGAGAAACAACCAGCACCAGCAAAACGCACCAGGATCTCCGTGCCTGTTGCAAAACCCGTTACCAGACCTATATCTCCCCTGCGACAGGAACTCCCCCAGGCCACAGCAGGTAAACAGACGGAGTCATCTGAACCTCAAGCCGGCCCTGCAGCAGCAAAATGTATCCCAAAAAAGGCTGCCAAACTCCCAACAAAAGAGAAACGGTCCGCTGAAAAAGTTTCAGAAGATGACACCGCCACTGACACCCAGAGGAAGCCTCGTGCTCGCAGGAAACGCCAACCTACACCGGAAGATGCGGAGTTAATTGAAATTTCGCCTACGATCGTAAAAATGGCAGATTTATGCAGGGATCTTCGTACAGGGAAAAAATCAAAACGGGAAATGGAATTACAAAATATGGAGTTGACAGAGCTTGCGATAAAACAAAGGGAGCGTGAGGAGCGGATTAGAAACGGGCAAAAATCACCCAAAGCCGGGTCTGCTGATAGAAGTCTTGGTGACAATCTGGATCGAGCTGAAGCAGCCTCCCTTGGAGGCCCACAGATGCGCATTGTCAATGGAGAGATCGTCGTTGATGCCGCCTCTCTACAAATCGATCGCCACGCTAACGCCGCAAGAAACGAAGGAGACATGGAAGAAGTTGAAGAAAACCCACTAACCAAAAGGATCAACGCGGCCTCATTCGGTAAGCGAACAAAGGTAGAATCCTGGGACGAAGACATGACCGATCTCTTCTACCGTGGCCTGCGGATGTTTGGGACCGATTTCATGATGATAAGCAAGATGTTTCCGGGCCGCTCACGGCGACAGATCAAGCTGAAATTCTCTAATGAGGAGCGCCGATACCCGGAGCGCATCAAGGAGACGCTGCTGGGACCGCGAGAACTGGTGGATATGGTAACGTATTCTGAAATGACGAACACCGTTTACGATGATCCGCGTGTTATTGAGAGGGAGCTGGATGAGGAGAAGAAGCGGATTGAGGCCGAGCATGCGAAGGAGAAGGAGGCGCGGGAAGAACAGATGCGAAATCCTGGTGGCGGGTCGAACATAGCTGGTCCGTCTGATTTGAATGTGTTACCTAGTATTGAGAATGGCACTGATGGGGCCAGGGAGACGAAGAGGGGCGCGCATAAGTTTGGAGGGGGGACAGAGGAGATTCTTGGGACGATTGATGATATTACAGTTTCTGCGTAGGGAGAAAAAGGGAGGGAGTTCGAGTTTGAACTTGTGCTTATGTTCAATTATTTACACCCAACGCATTTATCTATATATTAAGGTAAATATATATGTCAGAAAGGAAAAGAGGCAATTGAATATTGCAACTTCGTGAGGAATACTCCAAGGAACATATTCAAGTAAATAGTTGTGATACTCCCTTTCCTCTCACAACTATGCCGGACTACCATCTGCATATCTTCGAATCAACACGGAACTAGAATGAGTAAACAAATATTTGTTGTTGTCAAGAAAATTCAAAACAGTTCCTATCTATTTAGATAATTGAAGAGTTATCCATATTTATATGAATATTTATTTAGGGCTGCTTCATAGGCGGCCCGGTGGCGTCGACCCAGGCGAATATTTGAATTGGCACAGTTGGCAACAAAATTTAGGCTTGAGTTTCTATGTAATATATGTCTGCCTAATGCCGAGATGCATAAAATTTTAAACCTCCACATCCTGGGATATCTGTTCAGTTCTCAAACCATGTCTTTTACATCAGTAAACTTATATACACCTCTTCTTCAGATCAACGCATCTCAACACCTTCTCCTAACAATAAAGTAAAATAATAGTTAACTATGCCAACCACCTAAAAATGATGCGCACTCATCCAACTCTCCTCTCCTTCCTGCTCTTCCCCCTCATCCTCCTCCTTGCCCTCCCCCAAACCCACGCCTATAACCCCGCCAAAGCCCCCAACTCCAGAGACGCTGTCCGCCTCTCATCCATCAAATCCCTAACCCTCTACGCAAACCGCAAAACTACCCACCGCCGCCTCCCCGCCATCCAACAACTAACCTGCATCGGCCCCTCGAAAAAGATATGTGCGCTCTACACTCCCGATGTCATGCGCTGCACAAACCAAGGTCACGGCTACGACGAGAATGACATCCAGTGGACGTGCACGGCGCAGTTGCCGCCAGAGTTTAAGCTGGGGAGCACCGATGTTATCTACGAGGGGTATCGAGATGCGAAGGACCCGTGGGTGCTTAGGGGTAGCGGTGGGGTGGAGTATCAGCTGTTATTAACGGAGAGGGGAGAGGCGAAGTATGGAAAGCTTGTGGCTGGGGGCTTGTTTGAGGGTGGAGGTGGCTGGTTGCGTTTACTGGGGGAGCTGTTGTTTTTCTTTTTCTTTTTCGGGGTGCTGGTGGTTATTGTGCTGGCGGCTTTGGGTTGTATTGATGGCGGTCGCCGGGGTGGCGGTGGACAGAGGAGGGGTGGTGGCTTGGGGTGGGGTGGATGGGGACCGGGATGGGGACCTGGAGGAGGAGGAGGAGGGTGGGGCGGGTGGGGCGGATGGAATGATCCGCCGCCTCCATATGACTATCCGGGATACAGGAAACAGGAGTCATGGAGGCCTGGTTTCTGGACGGGTGCAGCAGCGGGGAGTGCGGCGGGGTATGCCATGGGGAGACAAAGTGGGTCGAGGTCGGGATCAGGATGGGGATGGGGGTCGAATAGAGCGGAAAGCTCAAGGGGCAGCTCTTCTCGTCCGTCGTTTTCACCTTCTCCCTCTACGTTGGAGAGAACCGGGTTTGGGTCTACGAGACGGCGGTAAGATATGGCTAGTACGGGATGGACTAGACTACTGTATATATATACATGAAGAAATCGATGGGGATTCTCTTTTGGTCCGACTGATGAGTAGAAGATACATGAATCGAGTATTGCATTTTAACATTTCAATTTTATGCTGTCTATAGCATAGGATGCGTATTCGCATACCGTCTGGTTGCTTCTTAGTCCTTGGCACCTCTGATATTTAACTGGCCTCGGGTTTGAGAACCCTATGTAGGCATTTATAAGTTGACTGCTTGAATCCCTCCAGATGTGCCTACAAGTAAAGAGAAGAGATCATATTTCCGATACTGAGTCGGCAATTTGCAGACCAGAAGGAGAATAAAGTGGATGTTCCGGGTGATCAAAAATCCAATCTCAATAGACAAGAGTGCGGAGTAAGGAGGGGGATGATGTCAAACAGCCTCTTCCCGCAAGATACTCTTAAAGGGTCAATTCCCGTCATGAGGGATAAGGTAACTAAGAACATAAAAACTATATTGTATCGGACAAATGATAACTAAATAAATAAATGAAATAAATAAACAACATAATACATCTGGCTATTTAAAAAAGTGACGGGAAATCGAATGACGTATCAGATATCACGTGTATTAGACGCCAAGAGATAAGATTGATCTGATAACTTTATTTCTGCTCATCGACACGACGTCGCAAAGCCATCAGCCAAATGATTATCAATATTACAAGGGACAAGTCAAGGACAACAACTCAAGGACAACTCAGCTTTCCACCGCCACAAACATGAGATGTCCAAATGATATGGAACTGCACAATCTACAGTATTCCTTACTGATTTGCTAGAATGGCGGGGTCTACAAGTGCGAGTCTCCAGACTCCTTATTTTCCTAGCTCGACCCAGATTAACCCTGTACGCGTAGATCACACCCTACCATTACCGCCCTCCCAGCCGTCGTACGTATCGTCTCCTTCCCCGTATCAACCTATTCAACTATTCTGACTTCTCCTCACAGACTCTCCTTTACTCAAGGCCTTCTAGTTGGCCAGCTCTCCGTAGTGCTGCTTATCGGAGCATTTATCAAGTTCTTCATATTCGGCGAGGCCCCTCCCCCTCCGTCCCGCGGCCTCTCCAATCGGACCAGTACCCATCCACGTTCTTATTCCATTAATGCAGCCTCTACAGATTCCAGTCCGCGACCACTAAGAGAAAAACCCTCCACCTCCAACATACTCCGCCCCGTCCCCTCATCCTCCACAAATACCCGCTCCATCCTTAGGAAAACATACTACAGTGCCACGCCCACGCATCCCACCCCCAAACATGGCCGACCACGGCTGTACCACTCCTCCCACCAGCCGGAGTCTCTGGACTGGTTTAACGTTCTGATTGCACAGACTATCGCCCAGTATCGACAAACAGCATATATCCTTAAGGACTCTCCCACATCCTCAATCCTGGCCTCCCTATCCGAAACGCTCAATAATCCAGAGAAAAAGCCATCTTTCATTGACATCATCAAAGTGACAGACATATCCCTGGGCGAGGAATTCCCCATATTTAGCAACTGCCGCGTCATCGCCGTCGAGGACCCCAATTCCGATGGTGGACGCCTACAGGCGCTCATGGACGTTGACCTAAGTGACGACAACCTCTCCCTTGCAATCGAAACTTCCCTTCTTTTAAATTATCCAAAACCCTTCTCCGCCGTCCTCCCTGTTGCCCTCGCCGTCTCCGTCGTCCGCTTCTCTGGCACGCTCTGCATATCCTTCGTTCCCGGTCCCCGAACCTCGGACCAAACCATGTCTCCCATCCCAACCCCACACGACACAACCTCAGAGGCAATCGACGACCAAAGTTCCGACCAACCAAGCCCCGCTCAAAATCCCGATGGACCCAAGGATGCCCATGCAAACACTAGCAACACCACGGACGCAAGCAGCAAACACGGCATCCCAAAAACAAGCCTCGCTTTCTCCTTCCTACCCGACTACCGCCTCGACCTTTCTGTCCGCTCCCTCATAGGCTCCCGCAGCCGCCTCCAGGACGTGCCGAAGGTAGCGCAGCTCGTCGAAGCGCGTGTGCAATCCTGGTTTGAAGAGCGGGTTGTAGAGCCGCGTGTGCAGGTAGTGGGATTGCCTAATATTTGGCCGCGGATGGGTAGGACTGGGTTACGGAGTAGTCAGGAAGAGCCGGAGGCAGGATCTGGGTCGGTTGAGATTCCGGTCATGACCTCTCCGGGGGCCGATGGGGTTAGTGGTGGTGGAGGAAGTGGTGGCGGAAGTGGAGGAGGTGGAGGGGGTATGAGAGGGATCGATCGGGGTTTGTCTGGAAGGGAGGCGGGGTATGAGGCGCTGCGGTATCGGCATGCTGCCTGTGGTGGCCATCAGAATCAGAGCGGGAGAGACGGGGGGAGAGGTGGTAATGAGCAGTTTGCGATGCCGGGTTCGATGCCGGATACGGTAACTGAGACGTGATATGAGGAGTAACGTAGATAGTTGGAGAGATGTGCTGATTGCCAGTTGCTTGCATTGCATTGGGTGTTGTGTGTTTGTTTATATTTATATGCCTGACTATCGGGCAAGCATCATGATGTTGCATCTTTCTTGGTCTCTGTATATATATCTAACAATTTCCTGTTTCATGCCTTGTTTTATTACTTTATAGACGTATTCATGAATATAATCGACATGAAATAGTCAAGTTTGATCATCACTTCAATCCGAGCATTTTTGAATATGTTCTGAGAAATTAAGCGGTGACAACAATGATGCGACTATATAATTTAACATCATATTGATTGACCCAAGACCTGATATCTTTTTCCTACCCGAATGCAAAAATAAATTTACCTATTACTCATGATCGTATAAACTTCAGGAAAAATCACCCCAGTGTCCCATTTCCCATCATAGTTCTACCCTAGTAATAAAGAATTCGTCACGGAAACCGCATTAAATCATAGCCATATAATGAATAGCGGCATAAAAATCATCTCTTAAAACCTTGATCGGCAATAGATATCAGGTCGATTTCTCTGTTATAACGATGGATAATACGCCCGGAAAAGCAAAATCTTTCACTCGTATGCCAGTGAACCTTCATAGAGAAATTTCACGGGTTGTGGCCTTAAAAGGAAAGATCTCAAACCAATGAGAAACTGCTAATAATCAGGTGGCAACTGGTTGACGGGAAATGAGGGTCTCGACGTATGCTTTGCGATGTTTATTTGTTTCGAGTTCCGGATCACGGTTTAGAGGAGTCCATTTAGGTTCGTCTTGGAAGAGACGCATGGCTTTGACGTACTGTCATTTCAAAACGGACGGGGGATATGGTTAGCCCGATATCCATATCCGTTTTCATATTCATATGCACACACTCTCTCCACACCATATATCCAACCCCCCAAGCCCGTTAACATAGGGAAAAGAGTGAGAACTCACATTATTCTCATCTGTTGTAAATCGATGATAAATCCCCGCCGGCAGAATGACCAAATCCCCCTTCCCTAGCCGAATACGAACCCACTCATCATCCTTGCTCCGCACATCAAAAAACCCCTCCCCATCAAGTATATACCGAATCTCCTCATCCTCATGCAGATGCTCGTGGAAAAACATCTTCACTTTCTCCTCGTACACCGCACCCATTTTCTCGGGGGAAACGACGATCTCATCACGGTTCTTGTAGCCGCGTTCCTTGGCCAGGGCATCTACGTCATCTACGGTGGGGAAGTGCCGGTAGAGTACGCCTACAGTGGCGAGGTATGCAGGGTCAACGGCATGGCCGGAGTCGTGCGGGAGCCGTTGGTCACCCTGCGCAATAAATGTCAGTTGAGGGTTGGATTTGATGGAATAGATTTCCGCGTAGCACAGCATGGCCCGCAGGTGGGGCACCAGAAAGGTATGGAGGGGCAGCTATCAGTTCACGTACTGGTTGGTTATCGTACCAGTATGCCTTCATTTTGGTGAAAGTCAAGTAGATGGTGATGACAGGCTGTCCAGGATATATTTAGAGAGAGGGTATAAGTAAAGCGGGGAATATTGAAGAGGGGATGAGGAGGTGACGTTTGCTCTATGGATCAGAGTCTCCAGACGAACATCATCTGTACGGGCGATGATTGGCCGGAGAGTTAATCACGTGACGTGATTATATATTTTCCATTATAATTGCGGTTATTTTTTTAAACAACGACCGCGACGAGGATAGAGAGAAAACAAGACAGCGAATTCTCCAGATGGATCAGACATTGGTGGGATATCTGCATTGATACCCCCTGGTCGCGATGTACCTGAGAACGCGGTCTTCTACAACGCTCCGCTGGGCTGGCATTCCACGCTCAAAACCACATCGGGTTGTCAGGAGTTTCGCAACTGTAAGCAGCGACGCGCAGTGAGTTTCGCTATTGACTCCAAGTTATTGTATTGGCAGTTAACTAACATGGCAGTTTTAGGCCTTATGATGTCGTTGTCATCGGGGGCGGTCATGCCGGTTCAGAAGCATGCGCCGCTGCGGCGCGATTGGGAGCGCGGACCGCCCTCGTAACACCTTCGCGCTCGAACATTGGGGTCTGTTCATGCAATCCTAGTATCGGAGGAATTGGAAAGGGAACCATGATACGTGAGATTGATGCTTTAGATGGATTGGCGGGTGACGTTGCGGACAAGGCTGGGATCCAATTTCGGATATTGAACAGGTCGAAAGGAGAGGCTGTTTGGGGTCCCAGAGCACAGATCGATCGCATATTATATCGGAAACATATGCTGGAGAAATTGAGCACTACTCCCGGCTTGAGCATTGTAGAGGGGAAAGTGGGAGATATCATTCTTTCGAGGGAGGATTTAGCGGCAGGATCTCAGGGGAAAATTATTGGTGTGCGGCTGGAGTCTGGTGAAGTGATACCGACCGGACGAGTGGTTATTACTACAGGCACATTCCTTGGTGGTGAAATACATATTGGACTCGACGTATTTCCCTCTGGTCGGATGGGAGAAGCAGCCACATTTGGATTGAGCAGGTCC